CACACACAAAGACCACGAATAAACAAACTGCTACGATATTCTCTTCATCGGCAACATGAGAGCAATAACTGAGAGAGGAGAAGCGACCAAGTAGAGGAGTGGAATGGGAGGAGGAGAAGAGGGTTACAAGATGAGGAAGAGAAGAAAACGAACCATGAAAAGTGGCGAGGTGGAGAAGGAAAGGGGGAGGGGGAGGAGAGGAGGGGAGGGGGGGAGAAAGTGAGAGGGGGAAATAGAGATGTGCAGACAGACAGTGAAAATCACGCGCACTCACTCACACAAGGATGTGAACATGTTCAATTTACTCTATTGAAGCTAGATGTTGCTACTCTATAGTACTCAAACTAACATAATTCATTCTACCATAATGCGCTCCCCCCCCCCCCCCCCCCTCACCACCCCAAAAAAACAAAACAAAAAAAAACCCAAAAAAAAACCCACTTGTATATTTCTGTTCTCCTCCGATATACAAGACAGTTACCCATTGTCGAGGAGAAAGGTGGTTGTCAGCTTAGACAGGTGGGGACTTCCTGGACAATGCCATTTCATTATCAGAAAAATATACCGTAAAGGGGGAAGTGGGAAGTACAAGTTTGTACAGCTCATTGTCTCGGACAGGTGGCCGTTAATGAATGTAAGACTGTATAGTAGGGACATATATTATGTGGGTGATGGCGGGTGCTCTGGTGTGCTTTGCTCCTTCTTTCCTATCAAACATCTACCGTCCTTATCTCCCCTTCTTTTTTTATGTTTGTTACTCTCTTGTAACAGCTCTAATCTTCTGGCGCTCATATGACCTTATGCAGTTGCGGGTGCCGTGAAACCTCTACTAAAACTTTTTAAAAACAACATATATTATGCCAAGGAGGTTACAGTTTTAACCTCCTTGTATTATGCACAATTTTCAACCACTGCGCTAAAGAGCGCCACAATAGGGGGAAAAAACTCCGATAAGAATGAGTTATAATAGGCTTTTAAAGCCCGCAAAACAACACAGGGCCAGCCATAAGCATCTCATTGAGGATTCGAGCTGCGGTCAACGACACACTAATCAAACATCAGGAAGGGGGGGG